GTATGTAGCTTTAGACATCCTTTTAGCAAAATCTATTTACACTTTTTGAGGTAACTTTACAAGGTTAACCTCAACCCAGTTTGTACATCATGAACGTATAAACCGGCTTATTGTTATAGTCTAGAATTAAATTACAAAATAAAACATTATCCGTACATCTTATAAATAGTTTACTTATAATCCTTTCTACGCGTTGGAGCGGAACAAGACGAAGGTTTACAGACGGCGTGACGGCATAGCTGCGAGCTATCAGCCAAATTGCTGTCAGGAGATTAACGAGTTTTATTTATTTCTCTTCAAGGAAACTTAAATAATAGGAAAAGTTATTTCATTAACAAATTGATTCTTAACAATATAAGCACTACCCGTTGAGTTATCTTAACATTTTACGGAAACAAGTAACTGTACTTCCCGTGCGGCTTCATCCGCATGAAAGTAAAAAAAAAAATTCTTTACATTTGTCAAATTATCAATAGCAAATCTCAAAATGACATGACATGACAAACCTTGACAGTCTAGCTTCCATGATGTTGGCAGCAACTTATGATCTCTTTCCCACATTAAGGTTTTTATCCAAAATATTTACCCCCTAAGTTTAATAGCGTGAAAATATATAGCCTAAAGCGTGACGTAAGTGTACGGCTTTTTACTAAAAAAAGAATTATTCAGTATGCTGTAATTGCTGACATCTTAAGCAACAAAGGAGTATGTATTTACGCTTTATTATAATAGTATAGATGGGTAAAAATATCTCGTGAAATAAAACAGAAGCGACTTATAACTGACACATTGAGTTTAAGTGACAGGACCTGTCAAGTGCGCCTTCACCTGCATCAAATAAAAATCTAACCAATTTTATAACTGCTAAAATTTAGATGGAAGAATCGATGTTAATTAGAGCCGCTGATGAACGAATCCCGATGAAATTAGTCATAGATGTAGTGAACTGTTTGGAAGTACGCGGTCGGAGTCTCGAACAAAAGCTAAAAAAGAACAAACTCAATACTCGCTTTAATTTTGTGAAATGCATTTTTAAGTGAGTATAAAAACTTCATCATCCACTTGTCCTTATCCCTTACGGAGGGTCGGCACAGTATGTGCTGCTCTTCCATACATCTCTATCAGCCGTCATATCTGAATCCACTCCTTTCTTAAGCATATCTTCCTTCACACAATCCATCCATACTTTCTTCGGTCTTCCTCTTCCTTTGTAGCCATCCACATTCAATCTCAACACTTTCTGGTTTATGTCCCCATCATTTCGTCGCATAATATGTCCATTATGAGTATAAAAACTTATCAGCAAGATATGCCAATATGTAATCTTTACAACATCCGCTAAAAGCGGCAATTTTATTAATTACCACTCCGACACTGTGCCTTATCCATTTCTTTATGGGCAAATAATTTTTTGAGCTACAGAACAATCGTGTAGATTGCGTTTGTGTTCGCGACCCTTTATTGCTCCCCTCTATCCACGCTTAATCTTGTACGTGATCAGAAACTATGGCCTAATTTTATTTCTCGTATAAACATGCGTAATCTTACACGTAAGACTTAAGGTCTGTCTCACTATAGGCTGATAGAGGTTCAGAGAGCTTAAAATTGACGATACTGTCATATAAGGGAACAAAATGAAATATTTCCATTACATATTTTACACGCTGAATCGTTATCCGACGGTTAACAATTTTGTGGGACAGGCCCTTATTTAAAAGCAACCGAAGTATAAAGATATTAACTAAAATATTGTCAGTTTACTAACTCCCTATAATTCTGACAGTCAGAATTAAATTATTATCTCTTCGGCCATTCGAAACTCGTCACGTCATCATTGTTTGTATACGTGACTGGAATTGACAATACAATCTTAAGTTATTGGCTTAGAATTAATACTGGACGTCATCTGAATAGTTTGGGGAATATTGCTTAAAGGTCAATTCGGATTTGAGGAATTGAAAAGCTATGATTTTAAAACTGTTTGCATACGTAATTAGCTTTTTATTAATTTACTAGCTGTTCCCGTGCAGCTTCATCCGCTTGAAATTATAAAAACTTTATTGTTTACCTTTGTTAAATTCTCAATAGCAAATTTCAATATTACCTTTACCATAATAACCTTGCTTCCTTAAAGTTGGCAGGTAGATGGTCCCTTTCCTACATGAAGGTTTTTTCCAATTCTGATATCTAGACTAAAGCGTGTCATGCTGACATCCTTCACCACTATTTACGCTTTGTTATATTAGTATAGATTTCTCTATTATTAATTGGGTCTTTGGCACAAGAAATGTCTTAGTTTTGATTGTTCATCAGCTAGGAAAACAAAGCCATTGTAAAATGGTCTTTATACTTTAACTCATAGATGACATTATCGCACATTTTGTTAGTTATACAATATTTGTCATTGCGATTTTCCCGTCATAGGTATTCCCATTTCATTTTCTTTCACCTCATGATTTTATCTTGTTTGAATACTGAGTTGTTTAATTATAATTGCTAATTAAGATATGTAGCAATTTTACAACTACTTGCTTGTGTAATTAAGTTTGCATAAATTTGTTCTCACGAGCTCTGCGCTCGGGGAGTATTCCTGCTGAGATTGCAAATGCATTGGACGTGATTAGACTGGATAATGTTTGTACAAGTGAACAAGTGATGCATATTGGCATTATAATTGTAACACATTTATCATATTCTTATTGTTTTATGTTCTTGTTGTTTTTATATTTATATCATAAGGTGGCAAACGAGCAAGGGGCCACCTGAATCCGCCAAAACGCAAAGTGACCGCTCCCTATAGACATTTTCAATATCAAGTCCACGTTCCTTTCCTATTCTTTTTTTATAGACATAGACCCATAGACATCCGCAATTGCAGATGCGTTGCCTACCCTTAACTGACGGAGGAGGAGACGCACTTAAAGATGATATTTCCCCTTCCTATGCATCTCCTCCACTGTCAAATCCACTTCCCCTTCCCATCCTCTCCTTATGAGAAAAGGGTGGTAAGGGGTAAGGGACTTAAATTAGTCCTCGGCACCACACTCATCAGACGAAACACGGAATTGCTTCCATTTCACGCCTGTCTTCTGTGTGGTCGTGGTATTACACCGGGTGTACCGGTCCATTCGTGCTAAGATGTTAAAGCGGGTGGTAGTGACCACTGACAATACAAGACTTACTTTTTGAAATCCCTCGCGGACGGAATCGCAGGCAAAAGTTAGTATTAAATAATTCCGTAATGCAAATTTTCCTTCTTGTTTATATAATTCGCTTTATCGCCATTTCATTTATAATTAAGTGTAAATATTTAGACACATTAGATATAAAATTATCCTCGTATTTCTCTGGAATAAGATCTCAACCAGGGACTAATTTTCAACACCAGGAAATGCAGGCCAATTAATGATTCCAGTTATAAAGGCAACCTGTTTAGAATTAACTCGTATTTACAGTCTATTCCACTATTAATATTAGTTTTGATTTTAGTTTTAAGACATATTGTCAAAGTAAGAAATATCAAGGAATATATTTTTGTTTTAATTAGCGCACACCTTTGATTAAACTATCGCACAACTGTTTCGTCTCGCTTTGATTCCTATGAGCTTATGTCGTGCGAACACTACTCGAATTTTAGTTGTGTAAAAAACAGTTGAGTAGGCTTCGAAACAATCGACAGTCGATTATCGCATAAATGTTCGATTCTTTAATCAAAAGTGTTCTCTGATACTCAACACACTATAGAAAGAAATCAGTATAAGAGAATAATAAGTAACTTTTAAAAGTTCTGTATTATAAAAGCTTTCTTACAGTAAATCCATTTACTTTGCTTTGTCAGTCTTGTTCCGGGTGAATTATAACAGAGATTGCAAATGCGTTGAACGTGATTGGACTCGACGAGGAATTTGCACAAGAGACGTGTTAGGTGATGCATATAGATGCTTTAGATATACTATAGTTATGTTCACACAATCTACTTATCAGATACCAGCTGTTGCTCGCGACTACGTATACGTGAAATTACAAAATTGTAAAAAAAAAATATTCTATGTTACTAAACAATGACGTAGCTTTGTAATGGTGTAAACATTTTTAAAATTGGCCCAGTAGTTTTTGAGTTATTTCAATACATACAAAAATATAAACCTTTCCTCTTTATAATATTAATATAGAATATAGATCATCATCATCATCATTGCCCTTATCCCTTATGGAGGGTCGGCACAGTATGTGCTGCTCTTCCATACATCTCTATCAGCCGTCATATCTGAATCCACTCCTCTCTTAAGCATATCCTCTTTCACACAATCCATCCATACTTTCTTTGGTCTTCCTCTTCCTTTGCAGCCATAGAATATAGACATAAATAGAAATTATTCATATATTGAGATGAAACCCTTTTCATTCGATGGATCGAAATTTGTTGGATGGATGAAAAATTAAAAATTTTGACCCCACAAATAGACTAAAAAATTATCCAGTGGTTACAATTTTTTATAACATTGTTATACAAAATAATCTTTTGTAGCTACGAATAAATTACGTCACGTTAGAAAACAAAAACACAATTTGTTAGTTCGTGTCAGAATAATGTGTAATTTATATGCAAATGTTGTTCCCAATTAAAACATCAGGCTTATTTATTTTATTCAAATAGATTCGGTGACGAGAATAAACATTTAATTTATCAAAATATTGCAGCATATTTGCAGATTAAAAATATATTGGATATTAGTTCTATTTTCCGGATAGTATGCGTAATTATATTTTAAAATAACTTTCTGCTCCGTCCGCGTGGAGTTAAAAGTAAAACAAAAGAAGGTCTACGTGTTCTTCCAGACTATCCTCTATATCTTTGTCAAATTTCATCAAGATCCATCTAAACTTTCACATTCATAATGTTAGGAAGATTATATTTCTGAACACTAATTAATTACTAGACTCTAAAAGGATGTCAATAATAAAACTACATATCAGGTTTCAAACCTAATTGCATTTTATTTAGTCAAAAATATCAGTGGTCCAAATTACAAATCCATCATCGTCAGTGATCGTAAACACTATGGAGTAGTCTATAGTACTATATACAGAAGATAGATAAATAAACAAATGAGTTTACGCGGAAGGTTTTTTATCAGTTACTGCTGTCGTAGATGAAGCTACTGATTCTGTTTCATCGGAAGTTGGCTCACACGACAATGAAGGGAATTTCTTGTATAACGCAGCACGATACCTTGGATGACTGTAACAGAAATATAATGAATACATGACTAGGTTAAAATCTTAATTAAACTTGCTTTATCAACTCACCTGATACCGTATACAATAGGGTTGTAGACAGCATTGGCTTTGGCGAAGAGAGAGCCCCAGATTGTGGCAAGTGGGGTGATCGGTGCGCTCTCAAAGATGCCCGTGTAGTTGATGATCAGGTATGGTGTCCATGCCATGAACCATAAAGAAATGGTCATTAGTGCAACCTGAAAAAAACAAAAGATAAACGAAATTAATTACTAATATCTAAAGTAAGTAAGAAGTAATAAAACATTTAAATCAGTATACACAATTTAAAATTAAGTGAATTCGGTTTTAAATTTACTATTTACTTTCGCCAATTTACATTCCGTGCTTGTATTAGCCGCTTCTGAAGATCGAAGAGAGACAACATTCATCTTTTTGGCTTGCTCTCGCATTGTCTTTTCATGAGCAGCGACTGCCTAGAAATTAGAAAATTACGTGCATATCATCGCATACCAGTTGATATATGGGATGTTTTTAAAGAAATTTACCTTAACAATAAAGAAGTAGGAGTAAATGATTAGTAGAAGTGGCGCGAAGTAGACAAAGACCGAGTAGACGAGGATGTAACTACGGCTGTTCCAATTTTTAGTTAGATAATCAGTTCCACACGCTGTCATGTTCCCCTCTGGCACATACCTGTTTCAATTATTAAAAATAAAATAAAAAACAACAAAGAAGACTATAATGATGAAAACATTTACCTATTCCATCCAAAGAAAGGCGCAAGAGTCCATACTAAAGCAGCAACCCAAACTGCAAGTATCCTTGAAAGAGCTCCGTTTTTCGTCAAGGGTTTAGCCGCGATACCTTTTACGATAACATTGTATCTGTCAAATGCTATCATCGTCATAGTCCATATGGACACGCAACCGAATAGTGATCCCGCACAACCGTACAGTTGACAAGCTAAGGGACCTGAAATATTTAAATAGTAGAAAATACCAGCAAATAAATTAAACAAAATGAAGCTCTCTTCATACTATATACTAACCAAAGACCCATGTTTCGTTATAGCAGTTAATAACCATGGCAGGAGCCATCGCACACATCATCAGAAAGTCGGAGAATGCAAGATTAACGACCAGCAAATTAGAAGGCGTCTTAAGGTTCTGTAACAATAAAATAAATGCTATAGTTTATATGGATGGATGTTTGTTAGAGGTTGTAGTCTAAACGGTTGAACGGAACTCAGTGAAATTTTGGCACACATGTAGTCTGAAAAAACACATAGGCTTTTTTATTTTCAAATCCACGCGAACGGAATCCGAAGAAGCTAGTTTCCCCACACATATTTTGTGTTAAATTGAGGTAAGTATTAGTAATACAAACCTTAGTAGCTGTAAATATGTAAATCACCATTCCATTACCGACGATTGAAATAAATCCTAAAACGCCAATTGTGAAGCCTAGAAGTCCATGCCATAGTGGATTCATAGGAGGAAATTGATACCTACAAAATTATGTTATATGTTCAAGTTCTAGTAGTGAATAGGTAGTTACAATCTTATCTTACTAATATCATATAAAAATTATAAGTTCGAAAGTTACGATGGATGGATGGATGTTTGTTAGAGTTTGTAGCCTTAACGGCTGAATGGATTTTGATGAAATTTGGTATAGATGTAGAGGATAGGCTGTATTAACACATAGGCTACCTACTCTTGTGTTTTTTAATTCCCCACGGACGGAGTCGCGGGCGAAAGCTAGTATTATAAATGCGGAAATTTAGGTAAATGTTTATTAGACTTTGTAGGCTAAACTGCTGAACGAATATCGAAGAAATTTGGCATAGATGTAAGGGATAGTCTGAAAGAAAACATAGGCTACTTACTTTTTCGGTTTTTTCTACGCGGAGTCGTAGGCTAAAGATAGTAACATGAAATGTCTTACCAATGTGGGTCTACCATATCCAACATATCCGAAGGGACTTTGTCCACTACTGTTTGATTATGACGATAGGAGAACATCTTGATAGCTAAAAAAAGATCAATATTTTAGTAAACATTTTGTACTTTGCAGATAGAGGTTTAAGGCAATAAATAAATGTAAATTAGGAAACACACTTATGTTTTGGATTGTAAAGTTTTGAAGATTACTACCAAAGAGCTGGAGAAAATCAACTAAATGAACTACCCCAGTCTCCCGGCAATAACCGAGGTGTGATTTGACTACTCGATTCCTTTAAACAACTTACTGCTTTTATACCAACGTTCATGAGATTAAAAGTAATAACTGAAAATCAATATTCTTAATTAAATATGATATTCAAGGTGATATTTGGTGTCTAGGAATTAGGAGGCCAATTATGAGCATTACATATCCTTATAGTGGGTTTCGATTGTCAAAAACATGTGTTAAAACATAATGTCAAACCTTTCAATCATACTAATACAAAATATTATAAATACAAAAGTTTAAATGGTTGAATGTTTGTTAGAGTTTGTAGTCTAAACGGATGAACGGATTTTAATGAAATTTGGTATAGATATAGAGGATAGCCGGGAAGAACACAGAAGCTACTCACTTTTGTTTTTTTGTAAATCAACGCGATCGGAGTCGCGTGCAAAAGCTAGTTACTACATAAACTAGAAACAAGATTTTTCTAACGAAATAATCTTTGAGAACTTTTTTCAAACTACGACTCGTGTAATTTGGTGTTAACATCTACCGTCGTCTATCACCTTAAGGTAGTTGATGAAATTAGCTATAGCGTGAAAAAGAAAATAGAAAACATGTCATGTGGGTGCATTAATAGTCTCCTTCAATAAAAGAAGAAATGTGTTTTTTTCCCAATATGAATTGAGGAGTATTTGAGGAGGCCTATTAAAGTCCCTTTCTTTTACCACCCTTTTCTTATAAGGAAAGTATAGAAAAGGAAAGTGCATTTGACGGCGGAGGAGACGCATAGGAAGGGGAAATATCCTTTGTATGTGCATCTCCCCCTCCGTCAATAAGGGTAGGCAACGCAACTGCAATTGCGGATGTTTATGGGCAGCGGTCGCTTTCCATTTCGATGGATTCAGGTGGCCGCTTGCTCGTTGGACACTTTATATTATAAAAAAAAACACGCGAAGAGATTTTGTGTTTTTTTTAATATGAGTTAAGGAGTGAGGATAAACAAATTGTATATACTATGTATTGTATATATCTACAAATTGTATGAATTTAATGTAGTTGTAAATAATACACAGAAGTTATTTTATAATGCGGACAAACTAACTTGCAATCAATATAAAGTGGTATCACAACTTTAACTTTTAAATTCAAACTGCGGCAGAAAGTTTTAATGCACGATAGCTATCTGCCAGCTCTAAGTGCTTTAATAGTTATGATACTTGTATACGATTTAAGATAACGTCATGGCGTTGATAAATTGGAAACTGTACAGTATTTGAACATCGTACCTCGTATTATTACTACTATCTAGTACTACTAGCCTTAAATTACTAAAAATATACGACCCTCAGATTATATATAAAACATTGTCCAGTTTCCCATAGATGCTGATAGCCCTTTCATATACAAGGCAATGTAAATCTGAAATTTTGGTCTCAACGACTTACGCAAAACAATTTACTAGATGTTTTATTGCGGAAACAATTGACATGCTACGTAACAAAGAAATGTATGTTTACACTTTATTATATTAGTATAAGCTAGTTTTCGCCCTCGCCTCCGTCAGCCTGGAATTAAAAAAAAAATCTAAACTTTCGCATTTATGACATTAGTATGACTATTTGTTTCTTGCGACTTCGTACTGGTGAAATAAAAAAAAAGAAAAATGTTGCCTATGTTACTCATAGAGAAATTACCTTTCTAACAGTGAAAGATTTTTTAAAATCCGCCCAGTAGTTTTTGAGTTATTTCAATACATACATATGCAAATTGAATCAATTATTATCATAGTATTTATTCATGTTAGCAAAATTGGGCAATTCGTGTTATGGCTAATTTTAAGTACCGCATTTTATTACATTATCTCTTTATTGTCAATTATCAGAGATCGTATTATTATTTCCAGTCACGTACAAGATTAAACGTATCCGTACTGGGCCGGAATTACAAAAGGGATAAGCAACGGCACAAATAGTTTCATTGTCCGCAACCGTTTATGAATATTGCCATATAAATTGTATTAAATCGTATTAAACTAGATGGCGTCGCAATCGCATCAATATTCGAACACGCAACAAATCTTACTAATGTCATGAATTTGTGAATTTATTTATTGTTAGAGTTTGTAGCCTAAACTGTTGAACGGATCTCTATGTAATTTGGCATAGATGTTAAGAATAGTCTGTACGAACACATAAGCTACTTACTTTTAAATTTTAATTTCACGCGGAAGAAGTCAAGTCCGAAAGCAATTGTTTCTTAAAAATAACCACTGATACTTTTTAACGCGTTTTCTTAAAAATCTCGCTCAAATGGAAATATTAAAAGCAATCTCGTTTTGATCGCGCATGTTTGAATCGATCAAAAATGCAACACAATAAAAAAGCGTTGCGTTTTAAAAACGCTGCCGCGTAGTAAATGTTTCTATTTTATTAACGCGCGTTAAAAAAACGCACGTGCGATTGGGGGCTTAGTAGTAATGAGATAAATATTGTAATTATGCAAAACAAATCAAATTAAAACACTTTTAGTGTCAATTATTCTCATTTATTAATTTTATAAAAAGAGGCGCTTAACGTTAACTAGATTTAATATTAGATGTTAGTGGAATTTTATTTTTATTTTGAGGTTAGCTTTAAAATCATGTCAAGTGTCATTACTGCGACATAATTAGATTGTCACATTAAGAGCGCGTACACCTTTGACTAAATTATAGTACAACCGTTTAGTCGCGCTTTGATTCCTATGAACGTATATAGAGGTGCGCATAACTCGATTTTTAGTTGTGAAACTAAACAATTGAATGGGCTGCGAAACAATCGACATTCACACGATAGTTGTGGGATAGTTTCTCAAAGATGTGCTCGCTCTAATTGTAATGTCGAAGCAAGAAGCAAAAATAAAATTATTTTTCCATCTTAGAAATTGAGCATGGATAATTAAATTACGCATACTTTTTATTTCAATCTGAAATTAATATTGTTTAGAATTCTATTTGCTTGTTATTTTTAGTTAGTTAAGTGTCTTAAAAACAAAGTATCTCGACAAGGCATAGATGTAGAGGATAGTCTGGAAGAACACATACTTTTGGTTTTTGAATTCCACGCGGATGGCGTCGCAAGAGAAAGTTTTTTTTTTTATAAAATAATACTAGCTTTCGCTTGCGACTCCGTTCGCGTGGAATTAAAAACAACAAAAGTGAGTAGCCTACATGTTCTTCCGGACTATCCTCTACATCTATACCGAATTTCATCGAAATCCGTTTAGCCGTTTAGGCTACAAACTCTAACAAACATCCATCCATCTAAACGTTCGCATTTACAATATTAGTATGATAGCTATGCAACACGCGGTATTTCCACTAACATACAGTTGCGGTGAAAATCACGATCATGAATAAAACATTTCATAAATCAGCTTTATGTAGTGAATTACCGCTCTTAAAAGCGCTGCTCAGTACTTGTCGACATTTTTCGTTTGTTGTCATGTAAATGCGTTACGTATTCCTACTTTGTGAGATATTATTAACTATTGTGAAGCTACAGTAAAAGGATTTAGATGTTACTCTTGTAAATATTCGTTTTATCGAAGACTTTTTCTCACTGAAATTAAAATATTGCGACTAATGTAAGCTATGGTATTTAGTAATAATGTAGCTTTCTATTAGTAATTTCTTTTTAAATTGGTCTAGTAGTTTTTTTAGAAGATGAAAGAAATCGTGGTTGCGAATTATCAAGGAGTGGAGGAATATTGCCATCGTAGAACACCAATTTCGCTTGGCACATCACCGGGAAGAGTTTGCTGAGCTGACGGCCAACCTCTTTTAATGGAAAGGCACTTAGAGAGAGAGAGAGAGAGAGAGAGTAGTTTTTGAGTTTAAAATTTGAAGTTTTTAATATGAATTAATTTGTGTGTTTATTTCGGATAAACTTAAAATGTAATATAATAAACCAAAGAGTAAATCTATAATATTTTACAAGTGTTTCCCCAACTGTATATGTTTATGCTACAAGTGTTTAGTGTGTTATTGCTTTGATTATGGTTTTGGTTTATAATTCCGTTCCTGATTGCCTTTTTCTTACCTAAACTAGAATCATATTCTTCTTGAGTAGTGTTAGGTCTATTTTGTTACTTACTGGTAACATAACGTACATTAGAGGAAGTTTGAAAGCGCCAGTGGTGGAGAAATTGAAAAGCAAAAGGTTATGCGACGAGATGATGGGGACATAAACCTGAAAGTGTTAAGAATGTGGATGGCTACAAAGGAAGAGGAAGACCGAAGAAAGTATGGATGGATTGTGTGAAAGAGGATATGCTTAAGAAGGGAGTGGATTCAGATATGACGACTGGTGACTGGAAGAGCACATACTGTGCCGACCCTCCATACGGGATAAGGGCAAGTTGATGATAAACAAATATATACTGTACTTATTTTTATTTTCGTGAACCATGTATGAGAAAGCAATTAAATTAAGTGGCCTTGTTAAACTCCTTACTTTTTGCTTCTTCTGTAAAGGTTTTTAATTACATGAAAAGCTTACCTGGCGCAAACAAATTAACATTTTAATTGGTAGCGCTTCGTTTGTCTTTGTTTTTTTGATACACTTTTGCCAGTTGGTTTTATATTTACTTAGCGGGGTAAGGAAAATAATTTTTGTAGAGTTAATATTTTTATTAGTAAAATAGTTAAATAAACTTGTGAAAAACGTATTATTCTTTTTATTAGCCAGTAGCTGTTCCCGTGCGACTTCATCCACATGAAAATTAAAAATGAAAATTTTTATATTATAGTTTACGTGCAAATTATCAATTGCAAATGTCAAAAAGACATGACATGATGACAAACCATGACAACCTTGCTTCCTTAATGTTGGCAGCTTGTAGTTTAATGTCCCTGTCCCACGTGAAGGTTTTTTCCTATTTATTTAATCCTTAAGCTTAATAGCGTGAAAATATATAGTCTGAAGCGTGTCGTAAGTGTAGGGCTTTTTTTTAAAGAAATAATTATTCAAAAATATAATGTGATTGCTGACATCCTACGCC